TTCACCCTTCGTCCGCTGAATTTCGTATGAAAGTTGAAATACAGATTGAATGTTCTTTCCGGTGGAAGTATTCTATTAATGGAATATTCGTACTGACGTTTTTATCGATGCGGTTGAGATTTGTTTGTCAATCTCGTTGGGTCTGTGGAAGCAGCCCCTTTTTTTTTTATAAAATACCGTATTGCAATAGGGGTGTGTGGGTGGGCTTTACGCTAACGTCTCAACTTGAAAGTTAAACTTCCGTTTGAGGGACCAAATGTCTCGGAGGGGACAGGAAAAAAAAAGCTATTTGACTTGTGGGTAAATGGTGTGATTGGAGACCAGATGGCTGGGCGCATCTTGGAATTAGTCGGAATTTTACGCATAATTGGAGACGTCTGTCGAATTATTATTATTATATTTTTTTTATCACACACTTTCAAGCTTTTGAATCTGTACTCATATTTCATCGGATATTTATCCACGAATTCGGTGTAAATGAGAGATTATGATTGTGGGAGATTAACTCCCGTTCTGCTGACCCAGAAAATTATTTTTCGAAACAGTTTACAACCCTTGAAAGAGGGTTTAGTCGTTTCAAGGAAATTATACTCGGATAAACAATTCGTTTGATCTCACAGATATGGAAATGTATTAATTTTTCGGGTACACTGGGATTTAAGGGACAGTTAATTCCTTGATGCATCCAGCGGAATTTTAATTTTAAAGTACATTTTTCCCCGCATTTTACATGAGTGTCTATTGCTGTGTTTAATTCGCCAAAGTCCCTCCATGGGAATTAAAAATCCACTCGGGATTAAAACTCGATACACGATCGCCATGAGAAACTTGTTACTGGCAACAGTGACACATCATGTTAACACTGAAAAGTATGTTTCGTCTTCGTTAGTGTAAATTGAGGTTCTGTATCAACCGCAAAAAAAATTTCTAAGGCTGCCAGAGAAGCCCGCGCACTGCCCTTCCAATTACCGGTATATTTTTCTTTCCTCACCCCGTAATTTCTCGTTCAGAACAGCTTGAACTAAACGACCGGTCATTAACATGGTCGAATTTATTATCAACTCCGTTAGATAAACCGCACGAAAAGACTGCACAACAAAATTTTTTCGCTGTTACGAGTTTAGCGAAAATGAGTAGTAATAATAGCAGTCATTAAACGGCTTGTTTGTAAATGTAATAAAGCAATTGGAATTCTGCGTTTTTTTTTTATAAAACTAACTGGTTTTCTCAGGAGCGCAAGAATTTTATCAAATTTTTCATGAGAACTTGTGGCGAGAGTTTTGAAGAAAAATTTTATAACACATTTTCAAATATGAATGTTAATTTAACGAATATAATTCTAAATATACCATACAATACTATCGAGCATAGGATTATAAATATATATATTTTTAAATATATTGGATTATATCATGGAGATCTCTGAAATATTTGGCTATACAATCATTTTGAAATTGTGTTTATAGAAATTAATTCTTGTTATAAAAAAAAAATATGAAACTACTAGATTCATCACATATTCACATTCATAGTCAATATATAATATATAATATCATATTTATATTTTATTTATGTAAGTAAATATATTACATAAATAAAATATGATAACCTCATGGTTATGTCTATTATCTAGGCAAAATAGATGGAGGACAAGTTTTCTTTCACAAGTTTTGTTGTAAAAGAGCCGGTAATTAACCCGTGATTAATTACCAACTCGACTAGACAGTGTAAAAAAATTCAATGAATTTTCTGCACCCCCGGGAGTTTAGCGAAAATGAGAAGCCTCAAGAATGAAAAAAATATGTTGGCAAGTATTAAAGAGGGGAAAAAAAATTTGTCGTTTGAGTTACGCTCTGTTGACAAACACCACAGTTGCAGAAATATGGTATTCATCGCTCCAAACTCACCAACTCACCCCATACCGACCCATCGTATGAAGAAAAGAATCGTGTAGTCGTCAGTGCAGAAGGTGAGAATGCGAGTTGCAGAGGTACAAGGGGATGAGGGGGTTGAATCACTCGTGTGTACTTCTCCACTCCTCGACGACGCGCCACATTGTTTTCAACGATACTGCAACGACTTGTTCCCCAGTTGTTACATTTTTCCTTTTTTTTTTTCAACCCCTTTTTATCTCTCTCCAACGCCCACCAACACCCGTTGGCGTATCTCTCTCTTTTTTCAATTTTTCTCCTTTTTTCATTCATCATTTTTGTCATTTTTATTCTGCTTTTATTTTTGAGATGAGCTATTGTATTCCGGAGTGAGGAGGTGGGTGCATCGGGGGTGGATCGAGGGTGCATTGAGATACGTCGCTCGGATAAACCTGATTATTTTTCAACGACGTGCAACCATTGTTTTAATTTTCACAGCCCATTGACACAGAGAACAAACACGAGCTTGGAATTTGAGTGCGCGGGGGGAATGAGATGTTCGTTGGGTTTATTTGTTGTTCAATCTCGAGTGAGTCAAGTATTCGGCGACATGTGGAGGTGGAAAAATGGTGGAAATTGTACTGGAATATTTTGTAGCTTGGCGGTAGAAGGGGGGGGGGGAGTAAAAAAAAATGTTCTCTTGGTGTACTGGTTTCGGAGAATAAGGCAGGTCATTTTCTCGATGGGGTCGGTGACATTGTAGACAAGATGCCGCAGTGTCACGCGCGGAGCGTCTTGTATCTTTCCAAGAGTGCGCTGTGGGGTCCTCTTGGCGCCGTGTCGTCGTCTTCTCGAGTCCCTTAGAATGACTTGTGGTATTGCTCCATTTTAGGATAATAAAAATGAAAAAAATGTCGAGTCCACGACGAAAAATGTTGAGCATTTTACCACATTTTTCATCAGAATTCATCAAATTCTTCGATATTTCAGGCGTGAAAAAAAATGAATTTTTTTTTAATGTCGATGGCAATAGACTGGCATGCGGGGGAGGAAGGTTGTGAATTCGATCCCCGTCGGTACCAATTTCTGGTGTTTTTAATTTCTCGGTTTCATTGCTGGGCGGGAGCATCGTAAAAGAGACCGCTGTACCTGACCAAAGGTTTTCCCCTCAGGTGAGGTTTGTCTGGATATATAGGCGAGTGGATTAGGGGGTGGTGGGAGTGGATGTCCTCGTAAAAACCCGAAAGTATATACGACTGAAAGAATGAAAAACTAATTTTTGTGAGTTGCGGAGAATTTTACTTCATTTTAATAATGGAATTGACGAAATTTCAATTAAACTAAATTAATACGGCATTTAAATCACTATTTTTCAATTCTTTGAGGAAACGGTGGAAAATGATGTTCTGAAATGCGAGGAACTTTCTCGAATTAAAAAGCTCGCATAAGTTCCATCATTTTTTATCAGACTATTTTCCGGCATTTTCTCATAATATTTTTCATAAAAATGCAGATTTTAATAAAATACGTGTAAAAAATGAGGATTTAATGAGGAAATCGATGAAAAGGAGGGAAAGAAAGCAAAGGGTTATCGTTTTTCTCAAAGCCACTGGGATAAATGTACATTGATATCGGATGTTCCGTTGGTATTTTCTTTGGACGGTTTTCCATCCATTGGTTAACGAGAAATAGAATGAAAAAGGTGCACAAAATGGTGCTTTTATATATACGAGAGAGTAGTGACGCGTAACGCCACGCGTTTGTAATTAAATGCGTGCCCTCTCCAGCCGATTTATCCACGATAAGACTTTACCCCGACAGAATATCGGTAAACATGCATATCCAGTATATAAAACAGTCTGGAAAATGGTGTATGTGTGTATTAGCGTGACGGAATTCCAATTAATGAATCCCTCATGTCAGACTACTCGTGTTGCTTCTGCGAGCGGTACTTTTACGATTGTAAGTATATGCGCTGGTTTTGTCTCAATGGACTCGGGCTTTTTGCTGATTTTTTTTTTTCTTTTTGAGAGTATTCGAGAAATACTTTGAAGAGACACAGACCATGTCAAAACTTTTTCTCTCGACTGCCCCAACGAGACGAAGATCAAATGAGAATTTTTTCATTTATTTTTCCATTGCACACAGAAAAATCAAATTCACTTGATAGACTTTTTACGATTTGTCAATTTTATGAAACTTTTAACCGTTAATAATATTATTATTCTAACCGCTTCACGGCTAGTACACGAGGAATCAGATGTTTATTTAAACAAATTGTGATATATATTGAAGGGTCATGAGAGGTAATAGAATAAAATGTGATTGACTGCAGATTAGAGAGACAATAATTTTTTGTAACACCTTGGTGTCGGTTTGAGTTGACATTTTTAGAAGAGTATTAAATGCTCCCAATGACCTGGATAGCTATTGGTTTATAACTTTAGATTAGGAAAGTTCATATAAAAGTGATAGCAGCATTTGCAATAATTTTTCAAATACTTCGTATATTTCTTCCACAAGAATAAAGTGTGAGCCCTGATGATGAGTGCATATTGTGCTCGAAACGTTGGCTAAGATTGAATGAGTTCTTTAAATGCCTAATTTCGTTCATGATGACGGTATACGGTTCACGGAGGAGTTAGAATTGTAATTTGTCATTTCTCAAGTCTTCAGGGTTAATAGTTTCGTAACTACAATGAAGTCTTGAATACAATTTCGCCTTGAGACTGCGAGGACTTAAATTCCAAATGAAAAATCTGAAATTGCACAATAGCTATTGAAGATAATGGAATATTCGCAGAGAAATAATTCAAACGCAGTGAATTAAATACGTTAATTTTAGTTTATTAAAAATGGCACGAGGAAGAAATGTCTGTTCTCTATGACCTGCCTCAGCAGACTAAAAGTGGTTAACGAGACCAAAAGAAAAATCGTCATCTCGAGACAAAAGATCCCCAGTCTCTTTGCCACATGACCTCATTGCTTATGTTTATGTTTAGTCCTAACATCTCTCTCTATGTTGATTGATTTTTGAAACCATAGACTCATAAAAATCAATTCATAGAAGACTGAAGTTATATTCCAACAGAAGAGATATTTAAAGGTAATTTTATAATGATTTTGCAGATTGAGGATGGACGCGACAGCGGAAAGGCCGCGAACCGCTGGGCGGATAGCACCAAGCGGTCGTGTCACACCGACAGTTCACAAGTCCAACAATGCAAGGCGGAAAGCTATTCCAGTACCACCGCCCCGTGTACCCACCCCCATGCCCTCGGCTAACAATAATCATCAGAGGTGAGTGGAATGGCTTCTTTTCATTTTAAAACAAGGGATAAAAGTGCGTTTTACGTCTATTAACGGGAGTGGTCGGGGGGACGCAAGCCGTTGAGCAAGATAAATAGCTTGAGCTAAGGGGAAGTAAGAGGGTGAGCGTATTAACAGTGTCCAGGTTTTGTCTCAATTCTTCCCTAAATCCGCCTCATTAAATCTCGTTTTACCTCGAGTCTTATTGTTTTTCGAATAGTGGATATCACATTATTCATCTCGTCATTCATAATTCTCCAGTATTTTCCGGTTCTCCTATATTTTTTTCCTTTTTTTTTCAACATCCAGTTTTGTAGAACTAATTTAAATTTTTCTTACGTTCTGATGAAATCTCGTGGTAGAATTACACGGAGTTCCTTGAAATTCTAGTGCGAGGGTGACGTGATAGGAAATAGGATGGAAATGATAATATGGAAAATTATGGTGATGTTTGAATGTGCTAGGGATGTCTCTTGATTTGGCATATCTGATCGAATAGATAAAGTTGTCAAACACTTTTGAATGCACTCAAAGTCGTATATCTTGAGTCAACCCCTTTTGCAACTTCCTCGAGACTATCGTTTGGGGTTGGCTGGTACAAAGCGAGTGGGAAGTGGGTAAGAAGCGATGGTTGGAGTAAGAGGGTAAAAACATAGGACGCCTGGTCCAAGTGACCAGTGCCGCGTGTTTCCGGAACTTTAATCAGCCACGCCAAACTAATCCTGCCTACTTAATGGGGCCCCAGCCATCTACCCCAAACCCTTTCTAGCCACTACTGTTATACAACTGGAAACTCACGTTAGAACTGACCGTCCAATGCCACCAGGCTTCTCCGCGAACCCTCTTGTTCACGCTTCAGTTGCATTACGTGATCAATAAATGTCCCAATCTAGACGGCTTTGCCGGGGATAACAAAGAGTATCTGATTTTCTAAATTGAAACTTAACAAAAACATTCATTTGAAGTATCACTTAAGTACTGGCCCGTTTTTACTACTGAGAGATCAATGGCATTTCTTTTTGGCCGATAAATCCTCCAGATCGCTGTTTCCCCACATCGATGTTGCTACTGATGGACTTCTAGAACTAGAATCTAGGTTACTGATTCGCCTAAATTTTACCAGATTCCAAATCTCGCAAGGTGGATATTTCTAAATTTATTTACGACACCCAACGCTCCATTTTATTTTGTTGGGTTGATGATGACAGCCAATTGACCAATGGGAAATGATCAGTTTTATTTGGATTGACCAATGAGGGGTAGGATTACGCGTGAAAAGTCTTACGTACAGAGAAAAAACTTCCTTTTGCCAAATATATTTTCTTTCCACCAGTAAATCTGGCAATCACTGTGTAAATACTCCCATAATATTTACTAATGCCAAATATATATTCTTGTAAGTAAATATTATTGGCAAAAGAAATTTGTTTTCTCTGTGCGCGTGAAGTTAGCCGAAATCTTACCCTCGACAACTTGATTTTGCAGTATTACCTTTATAGAGAGACTGGAGAATATAATTGAAACACCCAGTTTAACGGTTCCACACACCTATGCAGCCAAAATGATTATTTTTTCATTTTCTGACGAACTTACTATGGGATTGACTTAAAAAAAAAAACGTTCCGCCGTTTGGCAATAAGCAAAGAACCCCCAAAGTTCAAAGGAAGGCCAACAATTTTCCTGGGTTTTTCCAAAATTTTAAAAAAAAACCAAAAACCGAAAAAAAAAAGCAACAAAAAGAAAACCCCAACAAAAAAACTCCGGAACCAATAAAAAAAGGCAAAAACGTAAAAACGTAAAATTGGTTAAAATAAATCCAACCAAGAATCCGCAAAAAAGAAAAAAAAAAGTGAAATTTGGCTATATATATATGAGTGCGAAACTTCTTTAAGTCTTGATTAGTTGTACGATTCTATTCACTTTGATTACATGTGACGTTTGAATAAGAGGTGAGACTTCAGGGGTGGATTTTGTTTTTTTCTTGTGTTTTGAAGAAAATGTAGGGCAGTGATGGAACTATTTTCTATTTGGGGATTTCACTGGCTAGGAAAATTGAATAGTGGGAGAGAAGTCGAGTGGTTTTGGCTGATAAAGAAGACGCGTTGTATCCCAGGGTCCATTCGTTCAGCAGTCGTGATAGACGTGTCTTTGGCTGGTTTGACTGAGTATTTGTATTTTTCTATAAAAGAGTCCGAAGGATGTCTTAAATTTTGGCGATGAAATTGTTGAAACAATCTTTGATCTATGAGCCTTTCACGTCATATTCGACCATTACAATTTTGAGAAGTTCTTTTTGAAGAAATCTATGTGATTTATGATGTTAGGAAATTCTCCGCCCAAATGGAATTGATTAAAGATTGAATATTTTCTTTGATTATTGATTAATTAGTTTTGTTCTAGAAAAAAAATTCAGAATGGAACAGTCAATACGAATCAAAAAGAACTACAAATGAAATAAATTGAGGTGAAATCCAAAACCGTAAACATAATAAAAATTAATGATAAATATGATTCATTAAATTAAACGAAAAATAATATGGAATTTGAATAATTCAATTTAAATATTCTATTCGTAGTTGTTTTTGATTCGTATTGGTTGACGTAAAAGTTCGTCACATTTTTATTCTCGTGCACATATTGGAAAAGTGATTCAAGAGAATAGGAGACAATCATAACATCCATAATTCATAATAGCCTTCGTCGTATCTAGTCAAGCCAATCAGTCAATAATATATTATCAGGATGTATGCATTTTCGGTTTGATTTACAATCACACGTTGACGCATTGGATCGCTGGATGAATGATAGTCCCCATCACGTAGAAATATAGAATAACGACTGACAAACATTGAAACAAGAGAGTCATGTTTCAGTGGGTGCTCGAGTGACAGCGCTCGCGCTTTATCTTCCCTGTACTTGATCGAGCCCAGAAGCTCTAGAATCAAAAAGAGAGAATTGCCAGAGAATAAAAAAAAAAGAGGAGAGAAAAAAAACTAGAATGGAAGAGACGAGGCTACAGCCCACGAGTGCCCACTTGTCTGGTTTAAGCGGGAATACTTCGATCGTGCGGTTCGTGCTTATCGGAATTTTTTAACGAGGATGAAAATGAGAAATTAATTAATTCTCGGAGAATGTGTGGCGATATATTTAATATAATAGGAATGTCGTTTTGCACGATTAGGGGCGGGGAATCGCGGTATAAATGTGATTTTTTTTTTATTAGACGGGGGTAAGAGGATGCTTATGCCGGGTAAAATGTGTGGCTCGTGCACTGAGAGGTGTCGGGCTGTAACGGGTCTCCTGTTGCCAAAGCTTCGTGCACCTCTCGGGTTTGCTCCCTGAGCCATGAGAGTTATACCACTTCTAACCTGACTGTCGATCGTATTCCCGTGGAATTTTAACGAGCCGTATGTACCCGCTTCCAACCCCTTGCCCAACCCCTTATTCACCGGCCGCTTTAGCGTCTAGTCGTCGTTATTTCACGGAACTATATTTCAAACGTTTATGTAACTTTGTTATTTTCACGTTTTCACAGATTTTTCCTCCCTTTTTCCGGTCCGTTCTGTTATTTTTTCATTTTTTGCACCAATGTCCAAAATTCATATTTTATCAAACATTTTAGTGAATTTTTACATATTATTATCAGATTCATCGATTATTCAATAATTAAATCTATGGAAATTTGCAATGCAAATTAAATAATTAGTAATTAACAATGGATTAATACAAAATTATTTTAATTATGAAAATCGAGTTCATTAGTTGATTTGATTAAGTTTTATTCGGTTTTCTAACCCACTGTACCACATTAAATTTGATTAATCATTTGGCTCAACTTTTGCAATTACCTCTGGGGCTCCCTGATTTTTTAATTATAGGATACAAAGAAATTTTTCATTGAAATGAAATTGAAACAGTTACTCAATTGCTGAGTGGGGTTTATGTGAAAAATTTGAAAAGGAAAATTCATATGAAGGCATCTCTTCCGAGAGACTTCACAATTGTTCAGGTATTAGACTCATTCATAAACAAAACTGCTCATTAGCTCCATTTATTGAAGTGTAGGCGGTAAAAAAAAGCGGGTGGGGAGGGGCCTCGTTAACATCTGAAATTCCGCTGGTCACATTCGCAAATATAACCCCAGTTATAGGGCAAAGTGAGCATTACAAAGCACCGGGTAGTGCTTTTGTATCAAAGACCTACCCGTATGTGTTCATTAGCAATTATTTAGCTCTTTGAGAGTGCAGATAGTGAGATATACTGGGAGGGGTAGAGAGTGGATTTACTTCACAGGACTCGATATTATCCTGTGTGTAGAGGTGTTCCTCGGTCGTTGTACTCGGTGTTACGGGAAATGAAAAATTTGTGCATTTGACATCAAAAGGATATAACGACCAGTCATAAAAAAAATTGGGAAGAGGGAGTTTTGTCTGGGAAATGTGGAGAGCCACGTTTATAGCCTCCAGGAACAATTTCGTATTCTCATTTTGAAAATTCAAGGATTCAATCATGATAGAAACTTGAAAATCAATTTGTGTTTGGAAAATTCGTTTGAGTTCTTGGATTTAAAAAAACAAAACAATGAATTTTTCATCGACTGTTGGCAAGCTATTACCGACGCTCTCTGCATTGCCGACGACAGTCAAGGGAAAATTGACAGTGAATATTGAAGTCCCGCGGCGTCGCGACGTCGGTCTAGTTCCCGACGTCTCCGTCAAACGGCGCCAGTCGATTCAATTTACATTTTTCATCATTTTTTTTTTTCATTTCCGCTCTTTTACACAGATAACTCAGAGATTTCTTCTAAAAATCAATTTATTCATATTTCGATTCTGGACTTTATCGTCGATATACATTTGAAATTGTGGCATTTTTTATTCCCCACATTTCGCGGATTTGGAATATAAAGGTTTTTATCCAGACACCGGTGGTAGAAACCATTATTTTTTTTATTCCTGACACTGCGTTCCATTGCCGATAAATATTTGAAA